ACTGGTACTAACACTGGTAACACCAACACTGCTACCGGTACTAACACTGACAACACTAATACAGCTACTGGTTCTAACACTGCTACTGGTTCCAACACTGCTACTGGTACTGATAACACCAACACTGCTACTGGTACTAACGGTAACAACACTGGTAACCCAGCTATTACTGGTAACCCAACTACTAACACTGGTTCTAATGCTCAACCAACTGCTTCTGGCACTTCATCTGGTAACGGCTCAAACTCAGGTAATTCTGGTTCCAATGATAATGGTTCCAATGATAATGGTTCCAACGATAATGGTAATGGTTCTAATGGCTCCGGTAATGGCTCCGCTCCAACCACCATCTCCACTTCATCAGCTCCAACTGCTTCTGCATCTTCCTCAAATCCAAATGATTCGACTCCAACAGCATTCGAAGGTTCAGCTTCTAACTTAAAATTCCTGTGGATTTTATTATTAGCTTGCCTCTTCCCCTTTTTATGATAATGATTTCATTTTTTTATACCAATATTTTTATACCGTTTTATTTTTAGATTTCTACCGTTTTAATTTTTATTCAAGTTCATATAGTTTTTTTAGAGTTTATTTAGAGTTTGTACAATACATGATTTAATATTAGTTCTAGAAGCGATCATTTGAGATACCCGTATCTTAACTACAAACGATGGAATTCACTCCTGTTAAACATTTGATTCTACTCATTACTCGAGCTTTCTTTTACTAACAAGTTTCCTAAGAGTAGCCCATAAGTCAGTTAAGGCAAATCTCTTTCTGAAAGCTCTCAAAAGGACAAATCTTGGAATGAATATCAGTGCAAACCAGAAGAAACTAGCCATTTTCCCTCTATAACGGTTAACAACTCCTAATTTTGAAGTTTCAAAATCATGAACTACTTTTCTACTATATTCTTCAGCTGTCATAGGGTTATTTCTTACTGCCATTTCTCTTCTTTTATCCATCACCAATTCAATACCTTCCACTTGATATCTGGAATCGGGATAAAGAGGTCTAACATCAGCAATATTGGTCTTAACTCCTCCGGTTACAATATTAATCACCTTAACATCAAAAGGTTCTAATTCAAAGGCTAAAGTATTAGCATAGGAATGAATAGCAGCTTTGGTAGAAGAATAAATGGCAGAAAATGGGAATGGTGCTAAAGCGCTTACACTTCCTGTGAATCCAATAGTTCCTTTGGTATTAATGATATAATTCATCAATTCTCTTGTAAGTCTAATACATCCGAAAACATTCACCTCATAACATTGTTTCATATCTTCATCTTTGACATCAGCTGCAGGGAAAGTACATGGTTGGCCTGCATTATTGAACAAGTACTTCACCTTACTGTCATATTTGGATTCAATCAAGTCCTTTAACGATTGGATATCTTCCATCTTGGTAACATCTAACTTAACTATTTCAACTCCATATTCGATCAAATCTTTCATAGGATCAAGTCTTCTTGCACCAGCAATCACTTTATAACCTTTCTTTGCAAATTCCAATGCAATTGCATGTCCAATACCTGAAGAACATCCTGTAATAACTACCAAATCACTCATAGTTTGACAGTTTACTTTTCGCATCTGATATTTTGCATCCACGGTAAAGATGGGAATAGAGAAAGTTGCTTCCCCTGGAACCTGGGAAGTTGGCGTCCTTGGGATGAGTGATATTAGGATTATTATGGTTAGGTTTAGATTACTGGAAAGATTTCAGGATCATATCATCCAGATCCATGGAATTCAGAGTATATGGGGTTTATCGGATATGTGAAACCTGGGGGTTCTGGAGGAGACTGGCTATAGAGGTTATGGAACTAGCCGAACACTCACTTGAAGTCTCTAATACATTACTAGTTATGAATTGGTAGTCGTATACTATTCTTCATATACTGTTTGTCATTCATCATTTGCATCTATCATACACGTCTCTCACAGAACAATCACTGATCAGTTTCAGATCCATATACTTCACCATGCCTCCCAACTCCAACTTCAGTAGTCCAGTTATTCACACCATTGTCCCGAATCATTGGTATGCTTCACCTAACTCGCTTCACCTAACTGACTTCACTAGCCCAAACTGACCTGGATTCCAAACCTCACCCGCAAGTCCAAAATCTAGCCACTCACAATAATAGCAACTTTATTTCAATGACCATCCGTCCAATCCTTCTCAAATCTATTCATCCTCTCCCCATCATACCTCTTTCATCAAAATATCCCCTAAACCTCCAAAACCTCTATCCCTCTTCCTCCTTATCCCATCCTTTGCTATCCTTTCCTCCTAACTATTTTACACCCGCGACATTGTCGCGGCCAATCAAATGCCACTAATTGATAATTTGTAAACCTCAATTAACCGGGGTTGAGAATTTTTTCCTACAACTAACACCAACCAAAGATGTTTAGATCAATCAACCGTTTAAATTTATTAGGTTTAAGAAGATCCTTGGCCACCAGTGCTGAACAAAGATTGAAAAGTTTCCATATTTACAGATGGAATCCCGATACTCCAGAAATTGAACCAAAAATGCAAACCTATGAAATCGATTTAAATGCATGTGGACCTATGGTGTTGGATGCTTTATTGAAGATTAAAAATGAACAAGATGCCACTTTAACTTTCAGAAGAAGTTGTAGAGAAGGTATTTGTGGATCATGTGCCATGAATATTGGTGGTACTAATACCTTAGCATGTTTATGTAAAATCGATCAAGATAATGCCAAAGATTTAAAGATTTATCCTTTACCTCATATGTTTGTTGTTAGAGATTTAGTACCAGATTTAACTCATTTCTACAAACAATATAAATCAATTCAACCATATTTACAAAGAGAAACTAATCCACCTGATGGAAGAGAAAATTTACAAACTATTGAAGATAGAGCTAAATTAGATGGATTATATGAATGTATTTTATGTGCTTGTTGTTCAACTTCATGTCCTTCATATTGGTGGAATCAACAAGAATATTTAGGTCCAGCTGTTTTAATGCAAGCTTATAGATGGTTAATTGATTCAAGAGATGAAGCTACTAATTTAAGAAAACAAATGTTACAAAATTCAATGTCTTTATATAGATGTCATACTATTATGAATTGTGCTAGAACATGTCCAAAAGGTTTAAATCCTGGTAAAGCTATTGCTGAAATTAAGAAACAATTAGCTTTTGATTAGGTTTTTAAAAAAAGAACAAAAACATTGATTCCATTATCCTTTCATCGAAAGGTTATTTATCTGTGATATAACGTATTTGCATGAATTTTATATATGTATTAACATATTTATTAAATATATATTTATAATCAGGACCCGAGTCCGTTACTTTACTTTATTGGTTAAAAAATCTAGTCATGTGATGGGTCATGTGACATTGTAGAGGATTTATGATTACCTATAATAGAAATCAATAACTGATAGCCGGTGATTTACTACTTAACTTAGGTAGCCACACGGTTGAGTGAGTTTATAAAACCACTCGGATGAATGATTCTGGGTTTATTCGGAATCTCGGGACTTATCTGATGATAGCCATTTTTATGTGGAGATACCGTTTTTTACCATGTTAAGAATGGGGAATAGTGAATTTAATTAACTCGGGCATTGAATGCTCGTGATGGTGGTTATGGAACCAATGGAACCTCCAACCATCTGAAAACTATAAGAATAAGCTTTCTTTTAGTGAAAAAGAATCATTAAAAATGTCAAAAGGAAAAGTTTTATTAGTATTATTCAAAGGTGGTCAACATGCTATCGAACAAAAGAAGTTATTAGGATGTGTTGAAAATGAATTGGGTATTAGAAAGTATATTGAAAGTAAAGGGTATGAATTAGTTACTACCATCGATAAAGATGGTCCAAATTCAGTTGTAGAAAAGGAAATTGAAGATGCTGAAATTGTTATCACTACACCTTTCTATCCTGCTTATATTAGTAAAGAAAGAATCGCCAAAGCTAAGAATTTGAAGTTATGTGTTACTGCTGGTGTTGGATCTGATCATGTTGATTTAAATGCTGCTAATGAGAAGAAAATTACTGTTGCTGAAGTTACTGGTTCTAATGTGGTATCAGTTGCTGAACATGCTATGATGACTATCTTGAATCTTGTCAGAAACTTCCCTTCAGCTCATGAATTAGCTTTAAAAGGTAATTGGGATATTGCTGCTGCTGCAAGAGATGAATATGATTTAGAAAATAAAGTCGTTGGTACTGTTGGTGCTGGTAGAATTGGTTTTAGAATTTTGGAAAGATTAGTTGCATTCAATCCAAAGAAACTTTACTATTATGATTACCAAGAATTACCAAAAGAAGCTGTTGAAAAAATCAATGCTGCTTCAAGATTATTGAATGGTAAGGATCTCGTTTTAGAGAGAGTTGAAAAATTAGAGAATATGGTTAGTAAATGTGATGTTGTTACCATTAATTGTCCATTACATGAAAATACCATTGGCTTGTTTGATAAGAAATTGATTTCTCATATGAAAGATGGTTCATGGTTAGTTAATACTGCTAGAGGAGCCATTTGTAATGCTAAAGATGTCAATGATGCAGTTAAGTCGGGTAAATTATTAGGTTACGGTGGTGATGTTTGGTATCCTCAACCACCAGGACCTGATCATCCATGGTTAGATTTAACTAGACCAAATGGATTCTCCGGTAATGCCATGACTCAACATATTAGTGGTGCTTCTATTGATTCCGAAATTAGATATAGTGAAGGTACCAAAGACATTTTAGAAAGTTATTTCTCCAAGAAATTTGATTATAGACCTCAAGATTTGATTGTCTATGATGGTGATTATGCTACCAGATCTTATGGGGAAAGAAAATAGATCTTAGCGATAAGTAGATTTGAGCGATGAAGCTATCATCTACAACGAATGAAGTTACTCATTCACTTGTGTTTGTTTTGTTTAAATATATGGCCATATCAAATATCTCTGTGAAGTAATCATTAGTCTCTGTAAAGTAATCATTAATCTCTGTAAAGTAATCATTAATCTTAAAGTAATCATTAAATATCTATTATATATACAAGAACTATCATAAATCATTTACTCGGAAATGGCATCTTTGATGGCTAATTTTCTGGAATGGGAATCAAAATGATTGGCTACCTCAACAATATTAGCAGTTTCAGGATCTATATTCATTTTATGTTTGTCTTTGAATACTACTTCGATTATTGGTTTTTCGGTGGTGGTAGCTGATAACACTTTATAATCTATAACACATTGGGATTTGATGGCTGAAGGTAATCTGGATAAGAATAATCTAGCTGGTTTGGCTCCTGCAGTGAATGGGTGAAATTTTACTGTGACTTTAGTGAAGTATTTGATAATCATGATGGTGATAGTAAAAATTTTTCAACCGTGCGCGACTCAACTAATATGGTGATAGTACGGAGAGATACTATATCTTAGATTTTTGATAGTAGAGGATGCAATTAAAATGGATGTAAATAGTTCTAATGACCACATAAGGGTATGGTGATTTTTTGGTGATTTTAGAAGACGTTTAAATGCACTTTTAAAAAATTTTCCCTGAATCTCCAATTCTCCAGATTTCAAATGTTTGATAGTTGTAGAAATTGCATAATTCACTCTAAAAATATATAAAAAATAAATGACAAAAAAAATTGAAAGTACGGATTTGTGGAATCAATTACAATACGGAAAAAGGGCTGAAATTTAGCAACCATTGAGAGGTTTTTAACACTTATAGATAAAAAGATATGATGGAAACAGTTATTCTAAATCCGCAAACCATTTCAGTCTCAGGAACGATGCAGCGGAAAGATTTGCAACACCCTTGATAGACGAGACAAATATCCGTCTAATCAATAAACAAACGTAATGTTTGTTTTTGAAAATCGTTTATAAATTTGGGCCGAAAGGTAAACCCAAAACTTTGACCCTCGTTTAAACTTTCAACAGGTTATGAAGAAGGGGTACTTGCAATTGTTCAGGAGGTATTGTTGAAAAATCAGTAATTTGTTTACAAATTTCCCATTTAAGGGAATCATATTAGGAAATTAAATACTTGGGGTCAATTACAGGGTCTATGTTGACTAGGAAACCACTATCAGATATGAGCCACGTAATATGATCAGATACAATATGATAAGATGGGTTTTGATTGCTAAAATGAAACCCATTTCCAGAATTAAACATTGATAGCCTATGGTGACGTGGTGGATTCCCCCATCAATATATATGTTAAATAACACTGTTTATTTTCAATACGAGTTTGAATAAATAAACATCACCATCCTATTCAACAAATCGACACGAACTTTCATTGATGTGAAATTTTTATCGCTTAATTACCAAAATCCTAGTAACTCTAGCCTCATCAATTAAACTAAACAAACAATCCATCAGGGTTCAATGGTTTAATTTCATTATAATTCATTGTAAGCCATCTATTGTTTCAGAATTTTCGCACTCTTGTTTCAGATTGTTTCCTCGAAAGGGTCTTTGTTAATCGCGATTTTCCATTACCCAATTGGGCTTATGAATTACTGACTTGAGAAAACATATTGGATTGTATGAAAGGTAATAGTTTCATTAACTTTCCAACTCGGAATTTAGTACAATTGTTAACAGAAAAGTTCTATTATTTAATTTAAATTTTTTCATTTGTTCTGTATGAAAGTTTTTTATTCAATTGCTGGTTAGCTAGTTTCATTTATTGTTCGATGATATTAATTGGTATAATTTTATTTTGGTTTCATCCATTGACACGTAGGTAATTTATGGGATTCATTGTTGATTTAATAAACACATTAATGAAACTTCCATTTGTTTATTCCCAGTTCTTAATATTTAAATGCCAAATCCCCCCATTACTTTTCTACTTTAACATAAATTAACTAACTTATTTTGTGTAAAATTTTGATCTTTATTAGTTTTTGGGGAAAAGTTAATAATAAATTGCAAAGTTTTAATTAAAAGTTTATCAAAAAGTTCAATTCTATATAACTCACAATCGTTTTTCGTCAGATATTGATATCTATTTCATTTCAATTATATAATGTTGTTTAATAACCAAGTTTCAATCACTGTTGCCTTAGTTGCTTCAAATTTCTTATTAAGTGCCAATGCTGCTTTGATTAGTGGTGGTATTCATGGTGATGCTGATGCTCACGTTTTAGGTGCTAGTGCTTCTGCTTACGCTGGTGCCGATGCCGAAGTCTTGGGTGACCACTTAGCTGATGCTGCTGCTTCAGCCGGTATCGGTGCTGATGTTCCAGGTGTCGCTGGTGGTGATGTTGATGCCGATGCTGCTGCTGCTATCTTAAAGAGAGCTTTAGCTGATGCTGGTATTTCCGGTGCTGCTGCTGCTAACATCTTAGGTGCTTCAGCTGCTGCCTACAAAGGTTACGG